CAAAAGGTGAAGAGCCATGTGGAACAGGAATCTTCTTCTGAATTAGGAAAAAAAACAAACAAAAAACCAAAAAACAAACAAAAAAAACCAATTGTAAACTATTGGTGTCCAGATATGGGGTTTTCTGGGAGTTATAGTGAGTAGGCAACAAAGTATGCTGCAACATAGAGTAGTTCGATAGCTGAATGAAAGTATAAGTAGTTAAGATGCGAATTTATCAATATATTGAAATAGGCAGAATAAGTGTAGTCCCAGAAAACCTGAGAGCTAAGAACAGATTCATAATGAATTGAAGGTTATATCATTTGAAGGCCTAGTAGAAAAAAATCAAAAAATAAGTTCAACAGACAGCAATTAATTAATATTAGGCAATCATATTTCTACATATTTAAAATCTAGTTCTGTGTTGTTTTCTTCTTTTTAGAATACATTTACAATTTTATTGGCTACATAATAAAGAACTAGAAAAAAATCAAATATTTGTCTTTCCCAGGAACATAATCTTCAACTATTAATATTTACCTGGTTGCAACTACCCATATTGCAGACATACCATCTAGAAAGGAATAAACTTCCTCAATACAGTTGAGCAACAAACTCAAACCTATAAAGAGTGACAAAGGTCTCAAAATATCCTGTTCTTTTTGATACAGAAACTGTTATAATATTTTACAAGATATAAGAATAAATGGTCCAGAGGAGTAGAATTGTTATGAAAACTTCCAATCTCGCAGTATAATAAAAACGCCAGTTTGGTACACAGAAGAGACTATATCACCAGGAACAATTATTAAATCCATTTGTTTATTTTTTTTTTTAATTTTAAATTTTCTTAACTATGACAACCCTCAAAAGAAAAGATTATTCTCATCTTAACTAGTCTTAATGTTTTCTAATGGGAAGCTAATGAGAGCCAGGAGGAGCAAACCAGAACATTTTAAAATAATGTAAAAGAATTTATTCCTTTGGGACTATTAAATCAGTCATAAAAAACAAATGTGATCTGGTCTGAATATACTTTCACAAAGAGATTTTATATCAGCAATATTAAAAAAAACTATCTTAATGGCATATATACCCAAAGTCTTAAATAAATGTTTTAAAGGTAATAAATGTTATTAGATCCTGCTAAATTAAAATGGATTATTTAGAAGGAAGAGTTCGTCCTGCATTCATATCACAATTTACAGAATTATGATGAAGCAGTCTGGAAAGCCATTTATTATTTTAAAATAAATAATGCTAGAAGTTTTTTATTTACTCTGAAGAAAAAACAAATCATAAAAGCATTGTTTGTATACTGTGTTAAGTAACTATACAAAGTGAATT